TCGGTGAAGTCATATTCTACTTGCACAAGGTCAGTGTGCTAGTATTTTCAGCAATTTTTGCTGAGGTCAACACTAAGCATTTATATTTGCTTCTACAAATAATGGCAAGGGTGGTGGAAGTAGATATGTGTTACATCCTGCAGCACGTAGTTCTTCAGACACAGAATGTTCAACTGTCGGGGTCTCTTTGTCATGCCATCAAGAGTAGTAACATCATTAACATTTATGCTTCACGTCTTATTGCTGTTGGGTTGTCTCTTTCCAATCTACTGGACCCTGTTTCACACACAAAATATTTTCACTGCCAAGCTGATTATCAACACCACCTTAAAATATTTGTGATGGCCTAATAGACTGCCTTTGGCAACCTAACCAAACAAAACGAAGAATCATCAATTACATTTATGTTACCATTCTTCAGACTAAAAAAACCTTATAGCAACCATATGCCACTTTGGTGTTACCACCATCCAAATTTTGTTCTTCAGATATGCAAAATTATTCATTGTTCATCGGTTGCTTAGGGGAACATGGTTACCTTCGTGAGTCATCTCTAGTGAATTAGGTGTTGAAAATGTTTTCTTATTTATGTTTCAGTGGGAAGTCCGATCATTTGCTGCTCAAAATCTGACAAATCGGAGGAGGAATGTGCGAGAAGCAATTATATCATCAATGGCAAGGTTGGTTGTGTATTCCTATTCTTTGAGTTTTCTCTGTTTCAACCATACAATTCATCTAGCATACGGTATCGTCGTATCAACCTTTCAATTTGGTAACTTGGAAGTAGTTTACAGTTACTGTATTGTGAGTGTGTGACCTGAAAATAAGGTAGCAAATTACTATAGATACTACTTCAAAACCATATACTCCTACTCACTCTTTCTGTGTGTCATGTGTACTACCAACTTACTATGTTTCTTTAATTCCCACAGTCTACAAAATTCATGCTTGCTACTGTATGTTTGTGCCCCTAGCTTGCATGCTGATGTTGTATGTGCATGGTGGTGGCCTCCTTCCTGTTGTTATTTGCTCCATATTAAGAATTGTTTTGAAAAGATAATGAGATAGACGCAGTTAGGAGATGATGCTAGCAAGTTCAAACTCTCTTGAATGGATAGATCATAGTGCAGTTAGGAGAAGTGATGTTATGAATATGTTGTATGCAAGTTCAGTGTGTATTAGAAAAAGTTAGCATTAAATATATAGCAAATTCACTATACGGGGATTTGGTAAGCAGTTTTGTAAAAAAGTTTATGGCGATTTGCTCCGACATGATTTTGTGTGTGTATTTTGGCAGCTCAACAAGATGAACCATACAGGCGAGGAACCTCCCAGGCGCAGCAACTCCTCCGTCCAAGTTGAGCGCTGGGGAAAGTGGTCTGTTTAGGTTGATGGAAAGCTAGGGAAAGTACCCACCTTTCAATGATAGTTGTGTGCGTATGATATGGGATGTCGTGATTTCTTCATGTTCAGATGTTCACTACTGTATCTATGAATGCTTCAAGTGTTAAAGATGGTTCTGTGACCTGAGCTTATTTTTCATTGGACGTGTCTCTGATGGAAGCAACTACATCTAACTTCTATTTTTTAATTCACAATTACTTAGTAATAGCGTGGGAAACAACAACTCGCTACTAGTAATTAGGATAGCAGTAGCGCACAGGAGAAGCGCGCTATAGCTATTAGCAGTAGCAAGCTTCCGTTAAGCGTGCTGCTGCTACACTTGTGTAGCAGTAGCGCTGGTGAGCACGCGCTACTGCTACGTGTTAGTTGTGGCGCCTTATTAGTAGCGTCGGTCCCCGCGCTACTGATACACCTAAAACCCGCGCTGCTGCTAGCCTTTTCCCTAGTAGTGATGGTTTGTATCATCGAACTGAATGATATTTATTTAAAAAGAAAATGTGTTTGTTCTGTTTCTTTTTTTTACTCAACATTTTTTTTGACAACGTTGTTCTGAACTTCTCTCATTTTACGACTTGTACTGAGGTACTTACTAAGCAGGATTTTCATGGGGTTTCTTTTTTTGCTTGAATTTTACAATTTGAATTTCTGCCATTTCTTTTATTCCGAACGGACCTCCATTTTTAACTCGTACTGAGGTACTTATTACGCCCGAACTAGGGTAGCTATCGCGTGTCTCAGCGTGTTTTGAACTCGATGATATTTTTTTCATCAATTTACTGCCCATTTTTTCATCACACTTGAGAGAGTGATTAAAATTCTGGGTGAAACGTATTTTCGCGATTTTTTGCAAACGGTTTGTTGGATTGATGCAAATGATACGGTGTTGGAAAGCTATGGAAAATGCCCAACTTTTTTGTATTGAAATGTTTTTCTAATTCCTTACGGTTTAAAAACGAATTCGAATATGGTCAAATTTAATTTCGAACATGATTTTTTTATAAGTTTGTCGAACTGAGGCAAATAATATATGGTTGGAAAGATATCAAAAATACGAAACTTAGTCATGTTGAACGTTTTCTCAAATTCGCAACCGTTGAAGAGTAATTTGGATTACGGTGAAACCCATCGTGTTGTTTTTTCCGTCAGAAAAAACAGAGTACCTGTACTGTTTTTTTGTGTGTTTGTACTGATGTATTACTCCCTCCGTTCTAAATATTTGTCTTTCTAGACATTTTGAATGACTACTACATATGGATGTATGTAGACATATTTTAGAGTGTAGATTCACTCATTTTGCTTCGTATGTAGTCACTTGTTGAAATGCCTAGAAAGACAAGTATTTAGGAACGGAGGGAGTATTTCACAGAGTAATTTTGAATATGGTGAAGCCTGTTATTTTTATTTTTCGTTCCGGAAACAAAGTACTAGAACTGATCTCCGTATGGATTTGTACTAAGCACGTTTTCACATATTGAACTTTTACTTTGTTTTTTGGGTAAGGTTTTCCTCTTAAAGTTTCAATGGTTTACGGTAGCAATGCCCCTGTACTTACATAGTATGTCATCGAACTGAATGCTATTTTATTCAAAAAGAAAATCTTTTGTTTGTTTCTTTTTTTTGAACTTAACATTTTTTACAACAATGTTTTGAACTTCTCTCGTTTTACGACTTGTACTTTTACCATTTGAATTTATATGGGGTTTCTTTTTTTGCTTGAACTTTTACAATTTGAATTTCTGCCATTTCTTTTATTCCGAACGGACCACTGTTTTAACTCGTACTGATCAATATTTTTAGTTCAAACCATTTTTCCTTTCATCATCTGACATTTTTGTCTAGTTTTTGTCTAGTTTTGGGTTGCACTGAGGCAAATGAATCATACCAAATACTGATAGAAAATCATACATTTTCCTCACGAAACCAAACTTCTAAATTTTCCTACAATAATTCTTTGAATTTGCACACACAACTTAATTGAACTTTTCAACACTGGATCCCCTAATTATACATAACAGTCAGTTTGTACGAACTAACTCTGCTTGGACTGATGTCCGTGTTCCACTTGGACGGCTGCCCGTCACCATGGTGGATGAGCTGGACTGTAGGTGCTTGTGCTTATTCTCAGCTGCGAATTCACACAAGGTGGAGGTGATTAGGGGAAGCATGGTTCATGGGTGATTAGGGGAAGCATGGTTCATGGAGAGCAGAGCAACTGCGCGTCTAGGATGGGCTGCCCCGAAGCAAAGCTCGCTCTCCCGCTGTTGGATGACTTAACTTGGACGGCACCCAGTGCTCGACCTGGACGGCACCCAGCGCTCAACTTGGACGGAGGAGTTGCTACGCTCGAGAGGTTCCTCGCGTGCAGACTTGTACATCAGTACATTTAACCCCACATAATTCAGTTTTGGCTCAGACATTAACAGGGAAAAAGCACCTTTGCATCTGTTTTTGTTCTAGGTAAGTGAACGTTTACAAACAGTACATGATACTGGAACATTTTCATCAAGAAATAGAAAAAAATGCCTATAGTTGAATGGGAACATTTTCTTGTTCAGTAACGGAAGGAACTTAATTTTTAGACCATTGGCCATTATTCCACACATGGAAATGAAAATAGAGTCAAAGCACTTACTAAAAAGGTCCCATTGGCATGCCTTAGTTGCTTTTTTACTCGATCAATTCTGAAAAGATCAATGCCAAGACTAATATCATAACTTGATTTTTCTAATGGATACATACTGATGAACTACTACAAGTCTTGTTGTTGAAATGTCGTTGTTGTTCAACATGTATTTTCTTTTTACAAAATATAATTGAAGAGTACTGAAAATGTGGTGTTTTTTAAATATATATGAACTTTACGGAAAAGAACGTCTGAACGTTTGGGACGATAGTTTGTGAACTTCTCGATGATTTCTTTGAAATGTTTGTGCAATCAAAAATAGAAAAGAGTGGCAAATCAGATTTACACTTTCCTATAGAGAAAGTTTGAACTCACTGTCAAATGATTGGTTTCAGTATCAAATAAAATTGGCCGAACCTCTTACGTAGATAACTGAATTTGATTCAACCTTCACACATCAAGAAGTTTGAACTTCACTAAAAAAATTAAATAGTTCAACCAAATACATGCAAACAGAAAACACGCTATAATTGGTCCTGTTTAGACATCAAGAAAATATTTAGAGATCACAGTTCAAAATTAAACTCTTTCCTGAACATATGAGGTTTATGTCTTTGAACATACAAACTTCCAAAACATGAACTTAAACTTTTTGCACGATTGAACATCTGATTAACTAATATACTTTTTTGTCAACGAATCGCCGTAACATAAGTACTAAAACTGATACTAGCTCTCATATATTCCATGACAAAATCAAACAGCATATGCATGATCACCACTAGAGCATATACTGAAAACAACCAGAGTCATATGAACTTTCTACATAGGAGTTTTTCTCTCACTCATGTTTAGAAACATAGATCAACAACTGTTCTGTTTGTAACTTTTTTTGTCAATCACTTTCTGAATCATACAGATATCCAGTTTGATCGCTTGAAGAACCAGCTTCAGTGTTCGAATTGGTACCTTTTCAGAGGTGCAGACGCGGCCGAAAAGTAGTTCTAGTGGAGCTCAAGGGAGCGTTGAACATAGCACGACAGAGAGCGTCGAACTGCCTGCTGCCATGAGGTTGACCTGCGGTGGAGGATCCACTGCCCATGGAGAGGCAGAGGTGCGCCGGCGGGTGACGGCGTGGAGCTCCCAAACATCTTGCATATATATTTTGAACTAATGTTTTTTCTGTCATTGCACTGTTGTTGATATATAATCAGACCAAAATATCACTGCTACCAAGTCGTTGCACTATTGTTTTTACATAGCTAACAGTGGACAAAGATAAAAAAATATGAGTTTCCTTAAACATAACCAAAACAAGCATTTGAATTGGTTATGTACCTCCACTCAAAGAGAGCTTGGACTTGCTACAATTCTTTCTAACTGCCAACAGTAGATGTTTTTACATAGCTAACAGTATGCGATTAGGTAGATACAAGTAGTATGAGCACACGAATTCTGTAGCATGAAAACAGAGGATTGGTGTAAGTTTATTACTGTACTAATGTACTTACCTTGGATGTTCTTGCGGCAGGCTATGTTGATCCCTAAGCTCAGTGGGTAGAGGGTTTCATCCATGTCTGAAGACGCATGTCAAGAAATAATCGACGAGGGGTTCAAGAAGAAAGTTCTGGCAGAGAACTCCATGATCGAAATATAGCAGTGCAATGAAAGAGACGTCAGTTATTGACGTACCAAACAGCAAGCAATCAAATTTGGCCCCGTTCGCGTAGGAGTAGGACTCCATCTTCGTAGTCGGACGGTGCCTGCAACAGAGTTTGCCCCGACAGAGGTTATGAGCTTGAGAAATGATGCAGATAAAACAAAGGGAGCAAACTAGATTATCGAGCTAGCATTATCATGTCGGTGACCAAATAAGCTAGCAAGAAAGAGATGGAAGATCGAGGCAAAAATAAGAACCGAGCCAAGAAGCTCTGGCATGCAAGTACCTAGACGATGAACAGAAGAGTGGAAGACAGAGCACCAGCTGCAAACACACAACGCAGGTGAGGTGAATAGTGGATGCCATTTCGCCTAGCTAGGCCCCTCTATTTATACAACAAAGATGATCAGAGTCGCAACTCTGTCGTAGCCACACACCTCATTCTCTACACAACCAGGACTACATCTTATGCACATTATGGACTGATGATGTAGCAGCACAGAAAACTAAATTTGCTTGCTGATGTGTACAGATGTAGCAGCACAGAGATGTGTACTGATGTACCTTCACTGCTGGATTCTGAAAACATGTGCTTGATGTCTTGTTGAACGGCCCGGGGTGGCGATAGTGAACGGCCGGGGTGCTGCATCAATGGAGGCTCGCCAGCGGGAGGAGGTAGCGTGGTGGAGGGATTGGAGTGAGCTGGGTCAGCAGTAGGAGTGGATAAGCGCAGCCCCCATCGGAGGAACTGGAGGAAGTGCTGAACAGCAATGGAGGTGACAAGGTGCTCGGCTGGCGGCGGAGCAAGGAGAGATAGGGGCAGCGCGGGGAGGACGTGGTGGCGACAGGTGGTTCTGGGCGACGC